GTCACTACTGAAGAGCATCTAAAGAGTTTGCCTTGCTTATACATCTCAATGCTTTAGTAGGTTGTATGTCTATGATCTTAATATAGAATAATTTTGATTCAAATAAGTTTCTTATAGTGTTGAGGAAATTTGATTTTGTTGTGCCCTTCTTTGAAGACTGTGACTAATGAGTGGTGACAACTTCCAGCCCTTTTTGGGGATGAGTTTTGTCGTTCTTAACCTCATTCTCCCCTCCTGTTGGAGAGACTTAGGCTTTCCCTGCAGTTAGGTTGGCTAAAATGCTCAATCAAGTCCAGAAAACAAAATGAACCCTCAAAATTACACTGGACAAAATCATATATACCACATTTGTTGGGTGGTCTTTCTGTGGAGGACAAATGAATATACAATATAAAGTGAAAATATCACAGTTGGTACAGGCTATTAATTGTGACAGACTGTGCTCTAGAGAGCCATGAAGAATAGTCAGTAAATGGAAACAAAAATTCTCTAGAGATTAAAGATTAGGTCACTGAGTTAAGCAAAGGGAAACTCACTACATAGCTATAAGATCAACATCTGAATTTGAATACTAATTTCCAATGATGTCAGTATTTAACCTTTTCACAGTCAGAAGACTTGGCGTATGCCACATAGTTTCTAGTGACAAATACATTCTCATTGTTATCTTGTATTTATAATTAAGTACCTACTTTATAAAAATGGCAGTGGATCTTTTTTTTAATCACACAGGATAAAAACCACAAAGGATTACAATGTGTAATTAACAGCATCAACACAAACAACCAAGTAGAAGTACATGAGAACATACAGAGGAACTACATAACAAAACAAAATACGGCACATCTCCACAAACCAATCCTATAAATAAATAAAAGTCACTAATAGTTAAGTTAAATGAAAAACAACAATGGAACAAAGGCAATTAGGAAGGAGATTCAACAATAATACTGAATGCCACTGTATGCTTTTCAATATGCTCTCATTTCTATAAACTCATTCGATCCTCACAACAATTTCGTGAGGTAGGGAAGACAGTTATCTTTAACCTATTTTACAAATGAAAAAATTGTGACAAAGAGGTTAAGTTGAAGAGCTCTTCAGTAGCAGATCTGGGACTAGCCACCTACTCCAGGGCTTTTTTTTTTCCTTTGCTTTTTGATGAGGCAGTCGGGGTTAAGTGACTTGCCCAGGGTCAGACGGCTAGTAAATATATGTCAAGCGTCTAAGGCCAGATTTGAACTCAGGTCCTCCTGACTCCAGGGCTGGTGTTCTTTCCACTGCACTACCTAGCTGTCCCCAAGGCTTTTCTCACTAGACCATACCATGTCTTACTAGATTAGAAAATGCTCATTCAGTTGTTTCCATGATCTAGGAAGGAAACACATATATTCCAAAAATTAATATCAATCTTCTACAAATCTGCAAGTCACAGTAACAAATGATCAGAACATGGGGTATTTATCCAAGTTAAACAGCCATTCCACATATGCATCATTCAAATGCACATCTAATAGTATGCAGATTTGCTTAAGGTGCTATATAAATAATAGCTATCAATACTATAATTAGTAGTAGTAGTAGTTAGAAGATCTGAATTTGAGTCCTGGTTCTGACACTTTCTTTATATATATAAGGACAAGCAAATGAACTTCTCTGAGACTTACTTTCCTCACTTATTAAATAGGAATAATAGTAGTTACATTACTTTGCAAAGTTGATGTAAAGAAAGCTCTCTGGAAACTTTAAAGTGCTTTTGAAATATGAGTTACATACTCACATTTAGAGTTATAATGCACTATACCTGCACAAGAAGGTAATAAGGAAAACTGATAAGATAAGTATACTGTTCAAGGGCACACAGCTATCAGCAGTAGAGAGAGAGGCCTAGACTACTAATCTGGGGCTCTTCCCATTAAACCATACACTTTCCTACAATTACCTTGGCTGCTACAACCACTGGGCTTATATCTACCTATAGGAATCAGTGGTATCATCCTTACTGCAAGAGATGAAACTGAGTCTTCCCTGAACCTAATTCTGCAGTAGGAGGAACCTTCAAACAGTCCCTAACTGTGAATATAATGAAAGATAATTTTATTTCTATCAGAGAAGTACATTACCTTAACACCGAGTAAGAAAAATATGCAATAAAAAATGCAAAGCAAGTAGGTTTAGCAGTACCATATCTTAAATGTCAAATGGATAATTTTGATTACATTAAATTAAAAAGGATTTGTACAAATGTAGTCAAGATTAGAAGGAAAACGGAAAATTGAGAGAAAAATTTTATAGACAATTTCTCAGATAAAGGTCTTATCTCTCAAATATATAAAGAACTTTGTCAAATTTATAAGAATATAAGTGGTATATGATTGTGATGGAATATTACTGTGCTATAAGAAATGATGAGCTGCTTGAGTTTAGAAAAATATGGAAAGATTTGCACGAAATAATGAAGAGCAGAAACGAGAATGTTGTACACAGTAAACACAATATTGTTCTAAGAACAACTTTGAACAATCAAATCATTTTGAGTATTATAAATACTCAGACCACCTACAAAGGACCTAGGAAGGAATATGCTATCCACCTCCAGAGAAAGAACTGATAAATAGAAGTATGTATACAATGTTTTTACATATATATGTATACACACACACACACACACACACGTGTATGTAATGGTAGCCTTTTCTAAGGCAGGGCGGGGAAGGAGGGAGAAAAAAATTAAAAGTGCACAGCAGAGAATAAAAGAAAACTTAGAAGGAAGCACAGAAAAGCAAGGTAGCTTTGAAAATTATGTGTAGAATTTATTACATGGTTTTTTTTTTAATTCAACAGTGTGAAATGAAAATTCATTGTTTTATACTGAATCGTCTTTTTATGTTGTGCTGTTGTTCTCCTTTTTTGTCTTTTTGTATTTAAGTTCAAAATAAATTTTTTAAATTTTTAAAAAGAAAGAACATTTATAAACAGAAAAAAAGAAAAATATGTAAGTAATGATCTAGCAACATCATCTGAATGTTTGAAACTTAACTAAGCATGCATGAATTTTTTAAATTTCTGCCTTTGTTATAGGTAGGGGTTTCTACAAGAAATAACTGACTAAAAAACAAAAGAAGTCTGTTTTTAAAAAACAAATTGAAAAAATGAAAGAAATATACAATACATAAGGCTAAGATAGAGTCTCAGGAGAGGTGTACAAAATAAGTTACTGAATGTAACCAAAAACAAATATCTAAGGGTAAAAGGAAAGAAAACTGAGAAATATGATATCAATAGACCACCAGTAATAATGATGCTCAGGATAAAACTTCAGCTTAAAACACCTATATATTCACAGAAGTCTTCAAGTAAACATTTTTCAAAACTCTTTTTTGGGGGAGTCTTTTGCTCCAAATTCCTCTTTGCAAAGTAGAATGCTCCAACATTCTTCTGTCTCCTTGGTGTACAAGGCACTTGCCAACTTGGCTTGAAGGACCAAAAAACCTCTATAAATGGACGAAAATTCTGTAACCCACTTGCAAGCTTGGACTTGTGTGTTGTAGAACAGAGTTGCACATGCATAAATTGATCATTCTTCGAGGAAGAAGTAGGAGAGGATCTGAATTTATGATTTCTTTGGTTCAGGGAAATCATGGTATGGAAACTCCCCCCATCAATGCAAATCAGCCACTCATTCGTAACGTGTAGTCTTACAGAGTTTGCTGAGGCACTGAGAAATGGAAATAATTTGCCCATGGTCCTATTGTAGATATGTGTCAGAGGCAGAACTTGAAGGCAGGACTTCCTGACTCCAAACTTGGCAGTCTACCACTATACTATTCTGTTCTTTTTTTGATCATTCATTATTATATCCTTTTTTTAAGAGCATAATCTGGTCTCACAAATAGTTTTCTCTCCTCCCCCACCTTTTTCACTTCCCCACAATTTTTATTGATACCTCTCTGTTTAATCTTTTTTAAAAGATATTATGGGCTTGTGCATTGATAGCTAAAAGAAGCATAGTATCATTATTAAAATGTGTATTTGTGTATAGCTTTATACCTCTTCATCCAGTACCTGGCCTGTGTATGTACTCAGTTTATATGGTTGATTCCATCCTGGTGCCTATCACATAGTTGGTACTTAATAAACACTTTTTTCATTCATTCAGGTGCTAATTTGGCACAGATTTATTAAAACATAATCTCTAAACTTTTAGATAATGAAGTAATTCCTTTCATGGCTAAAAAGACTAACTCAGTCTTTAAGATTTGCTCTACCAATGGACTTCCAATTCAAAGTGTACCAGAGGAGTTATAGGATAATCCACGGTAGACACAGGGGGTTGATACTGAGGAATAAATGTTTATTAAAGCATATATAATCATGAAAAATAGAGACTATTTGAAAATGGCTAAGAACTGTTTTTGGATTTGTCTTTGTATCTCTAGTGCCTAGTGTCTAGTGTCTGATATATAATAGTCACTTGATAAAGAAATATTTTTTGAATGTGAAAATTCCATTCAGGGCTTAGTGCTTTTACAGATCTATGATAACATGGCCTCTATTTACATATTCTAGCAACTAGATACTAATTCTTGGGTTCAAACTCATACACAGTATAGACTCAGTCACATGTTACGGGTCTCCATTCTCTGAACTGAAGCATCAAGATTTTTTAAAAATCTAGGAGATAATTTGAAAATGTCTGGACCTAACCAGAGAACTTCAGAGCTATATGGAATGTCAGGGTTCACTTAGACCACTTCCCTCATGAGGAAAATCCCTTCATCTTTTCAAACCTCAATTTCTTCATTTGTAAAATGAGGGGTTTGGGCTCAGCAAGTACTTTCTTAACTTAAAACTATCTGATTAAGTCCAGAAATTTTCAAAACATCTCCCTAGATCTTCTGACTCCCGGTCTGGTGATCTTTCCTTTACACTGCATTGCTTTCTGAGAATGAAGGAAATTATTACAACAAATGAAACAAGGATATTCATCTTTCCCTCACCTGGCCATCTGCTTATAAGCCTCTTCTGCCACAGCAAAGATGTGAGGATCCATATCTCCCATGTTCTGGCCACTATATGCATTAATGATATCTTCGCCATAGATAGGCAGCTGTTCATAAGGATTTATAGCTACTAAAACAATACCTGCAAAAGAAAATAAAGCACATAGCACAGGATAATACTGGTAGATTTTGAGGAAAGCTGGTAGAAGAAAGTTCAACAGTAATATTGATTCCTTCCTGATCTGTACTATTTGTACAAAGGTTACAATTTAATTTCATGATGCTTGGCAGCCAAAAGTATCTAAATGAGCCTTCCAAGGCTGAATGTAATTTCTTAAATATGATCAGTCATGCAACTGAGAAATATAGTGAGAATCACAAATAATCCAAGTCTTATTTTAAATTCAACCATTACTGGTCTTAAAAACTAGAAGTCCAAGTACAAAACTAGATCTTGTGCCCTGACAGCTAGCCTTGTTGCTAAATGGTCTGAACCAATCCACATTTTCTCCATTTATAAATGGGTCTGTTTCATGCCTTTCCTAGCTTACTGCACTCCCTACAAGGATCAAACATATCCTGACAAACTCATGGTCACAGAAACAAAATGAGAAAATTAAATGCAGAAATAGAGCAATAGATAGAAAAACTGAGTCATAAAAATTACTCGGAAAGAAATGGAAAATATACATTTAAAACCTAAAAAAAGAAAGAAGGAACTCTAGAGAAAACCCAGTATTTGGGAATTTTTTGACTCCTGAATGACTCCTTAAATCATACAGTTTATGACAAAACTTTATATCCCTATAAACACTCCTTGCTCTGTACTGCCTTTCAGATTCTCCTTTACCATCACCACTCAGCAACCCTTTCTCCTTTGAAGTTTAATCAATTAAAATTTTCCACCCAATGTAGATCATGATAACTATTATGGACCAGCTCCCAGGTCTACTCCTCCTCCTTGCTCAAGGAGTTCAGTACATGGTTTACTGTCTTCCTTTATTCCCCAAATTCTGCCTTGATATTAGAGCACTTCAGCAGCTATACTGATGCTCTCTCAAATTCCTTAATCTCCCAATTCCTCAATTACCTTAAATGCCATGACCTATTCCTTCACTCCACTTCAGCCATACATAACTCAGCCACATAAGGATGGCCACAACCTGAATCTCATCATTCCTCCAAATATTCTACTTCCCTGAAGAAAAACTCTGAAATGGCTCTGATCACAGACTCCTATCATTCACTTCGCCTTATGTCTCACCCTTGTTAAATCTGTCTTAGCTCTGAGTCTCCCAGTCAGTTTCTAATACTTTCTCAGACCATAAACCTTGCTTTAACTTCATTTTCTTCCTTTCCCAATCCTTTAGTTAGCCAATTCGATTCTACATTATCCTCTACTCTTGAATCCTTTGTCCTCTTGAACTAACACCATCCATCTCTTTCCAAACCTCAGCTCTGGATTATTCCAACTATTAATTAATTCTCCTCTTCTTTTCCTACTCATTGGCTGTTGAATGGAAGTGCAATATGACATCTGACTCAATTGAGAATGCTCTTCCCAAAGTCACTTGTAATCTCTTAACTGCCAAATCTGATGGTCTCTTCTCATTCTAGATCTCTTAGTTGCATTTGAAACTGTTAACTCTCCTCTCCTCCTGAATATTCTCTTTTTCCTGGGTTTTCCTGATACTAAACTCTCCTCATTATCCTATAATCTATCTGAATGTTCTGAGTCTCTTCTGCTAGTTCATCAGTAAAATCATGATCCCTAACTGTGAGTGCATCCCTCGAAGCTCTGGCCTGGGCCTTCTTTCATTCTTTCATTATATTCTCTCCTTTGGTGAGCTTATCAGCTCCTATGTGTTTAATTATCACTATGCAGATGACTTTTTGCTATATATACAGTTCTACTGACTCTCCTGAGTTCCAATCCTGCATCATAAACTCTTTATTGGACATCTCAAACTAGGTATCCTATAGACATCTCAAATTCAGCATGTTTAATACCAAAACAAAATTCATCCTCTTCCCTCCCACCCTCAAACAAACAAACAAACAAAAAAATCTGATCCCTCTTCCAAATTTCTCTACTTCTATTGAAGATTACCAACCACCATTCTTCAGTCTTCCAAGTTTATAACCTTGGTGTCATCCTTGACTCCTCATTTTCCCTCACCCCACATAACTAGTTGCACAATCTTGCCATTTTTATCTTGTACCCTGATAGAAACTAGTCCTATATAACACCACTCTAGTCTATCCTACATATAACTGCCAAAGTGATTGTACTTAAGCCCAGATTAACAATGTCACTGCTCATTCAATAAACTCCAGTGATTCCCTATTGCCTCCAGGGAAAACAAAATATCAATTCCTTTCCTTAGCTTTTAAAGCCCTTCACCACAGTAGCTGTCTCTAATATTATAATCTCTAGTGAAGCCCTCCATGCCATTCCTCATTTACCATCCTCTCAGCTGAGAACCTTACTTCATATTCCAGATGAAAAAAAATGAGGACATTTGCTGAGGCTCTTTCTTCTTCCCTCCTCCTCATCTCATATTACTCATCTTCCTCCACTCTCTCCTCCTTTATTCTGTCTCACACTAAGAGGTAGCCCTTCTCCTTGCCAAGGCAAATCCCTAAACATGCACCCTTGATTCCCTCCCCTCTCATATTCCAGCAGATTGCCACCCCCACCATCTCTAATTTCTCTCTAATCTTCATTATCTCCCTTAAGTGGTTCATTCCCTGCTGCCCTATCTTTTAAAAAAATCATCATTTGATCTGACCATCCCTACTAGATACCATCCTATATCTCTTCCCCTTCTCAGTTAAACTCCTTAAGAAAGGTGCCTGTTCTCACTTCTAAACTTTTGTAATCTGATTTCTGATCTCATCATTCTACTGAAACTCTCCAAAGTTAACACTGATCTCTTAATTACCAAAATACAGTCCTCATCTCAGTCCTCATAATTCTTCTCCTATCTAAAGCATGGGGCACTATCAATCACTCTACCCTTCTAAATAGTGTCTCCTCTCTGGGTTTTCTTGATAATGTTCTCTCCTGGTTCTCCTCCTATCTGTCTCTTCCTACTTGTCCTTTTTTGCTAGATCTTCATCTGGGGCATAACTACTAACTATTGGTTTTCCTCAAGAATCTATATTGGGCCTTCTTCTCATCTCCTTCTACACCATCTCTCTCTCCTAACCTCCAGCTCCTTATCACCAACTGCCTTTTGGACATCTCAAACTAGGTCAAACTAGGTTTCAAGTCAACATGTCCAACCCAGAACTTGTTATATCTTTGCCCTACCCAAACCGGGTAGCCTATAGACATTCTCCTCTCCCCAATTTTCCTATTTCTGTTATAGGCACCATCATACTCCCAATCATCCAAATGCACAACTTCAGTGTTATCTTAATTCTTCACTTACGTTGACTCCATATATTCAATCTATTGTCAAGTCTTGACATATCTACCTTCACACCAAGTCTCATAAACTTCCCCTTCTGTCTATGCATATAGCCTCCACCTTGGTGTGAGTCATCACATCTCCCCTAGATTACTGCAATAGCCATTTGGTTATTTCCCTGCCTCAAGTCTACCCACTATAATACACCCTCCACTCAACCACCAAAGTGCAGGTCTGACTATGTCACTATATCACACCACTCCCACTCTCCCTTATTCAATCAATCCCACTAGTTCCCTATTACCTCCAGGATCCAATATAAAATCTTCTGTTGGTCATTTAAAGCCCTTCACAACCTGGTCCTTTCCTACCTTTCCAGTCTTTATTATACCTTACACCCACATATTCTACAATCTGTCTATATTGACCTGCTTTCTGTTGCTCACATAATACTTTTTCTCCCAACTCTGCCATTTTACTGGATATTTCCCCCATAACTATAATTTTCTTCTTCACGTCCACATTCTGGCTTCTCTAATCTCCTTCAAGATTCAGCTCAAATCCCCATAACAAGCTGTTCCTGTTACATACACACACACACACACACACACACACACACACACACACACCAGTGCCTTCCCTCTGATATTAACTTTCATTTACAATATATATATATGTTCTGAGTGTGTATACAGCATATGTATGTATATACAATGTGTGTATATATGTATGTGTACATACATACACACATACACACTGTAAGTACAAAGTTATTTGCATGTTGTCTCACCCATGAGGGCAAGGATCATTGTTTACCTTTCTTTGTATCCCCAGTTATAACCCTAGCCCCAACCTTTCTTTCCTGCTATGTCATACATTACTCTCCTCTTGTGTCGATTTATCCAAACTGGCCTTCTGTATGTTCCTCACATACAACACTCAACCTCCTATCACTGTCTTTACATTGCCTGTCATGTATGTCACTCCATGTCTGGACTGTACTCTCTCCTCACTTCTGTCTTAGAGAATCCCTCTTACCTCAAGATTCAGATCAAGCACAACCTTCCATACAAAGTCATTTCTGCTCTCCCCCACTGCTCAGGGCCTTCTCCAAAACTTTACTTTAATTACTTTCTATTAATTTGTTTTTGTTCTCTTTATATTTATTGTGTGTATATCTATATGTATGTATGTATGTATGTATGTATGTATGTATGTATGTATGTACTTGTAGCCTTCCCCTTTAGGATGCTCAAGCAGTAATTGTTTTATTCTTTGTATTTCTATTCTTAATGCTTAGCACAGTACCTAACACATAGTAAGAACGTAATAAATGCTTGTTGATTGAGCCATTGATGCATAGGCAACAGAGTTAAAAGAAAGTATCCACTGCAGGGATGGGGAACCTGTGGCCTCGAGGCCACATGTGGCCCTCTACATCCTCAAGTGTGGCCCTGACTGCATCCAAATTCCACAGAACGAGTCCCTTTCTGTGAAGTTTGGATTCGGTCAAAGGGCCACACTTGAGGACCTAGAGGGCCACATGTGGCCTCGGAGGTTCCCCACGCCTGTGCTAGTTTGATCAGGGTTCTTAGGAGTTGGCAATACTGGGGCTACAGTTACTTTGAGAATTCCTAAGTAACTTCCCTCCCTCTCTTAGATACTAGTATATTATAGACACCTGAGATGGAAATAATTTCCAGGAGTTCTTCCTCCCACTCACTATTTCTCCACAATTATTCTTATACCAAGTTTTCCTTACTATATAGAAGATAAAGGGATAATAATTAACCAACAAGTTTATGGTGACCATTACTATGTGCCCAGAGACCTGTCCTAGGCAATATGGGTCATTATAATAATAACAGTATCTGACATAAGCATTTTAAGGTTTGAAAAGCACTAACACACACACACACACGCATCACCTCATCTGATCCTTTCAACAACTTATGAATTAAGTACTACAGGTATTATTAATTCAATTTTAAAGATGAGGAAATTGAGGCCCACAGAGGTTATGGGACTTGTCTACAGTCACATAACTAGTAAGAGTCGGAGACAGGATTCAAACTTGGGTTACTCCTTACCCCAACCTCAGCACCCTTTCTACTATACCACACAGCTTCCTCCTTTAAAAAAAAAGGATAAAATACTATCCTTGCTCCCAGGGAATTTATAATACACCATAGTGACAAAATAAGGCATACATATATGAAAAAATTAAAGATTAAGATAGTATTATATGTTGATATAACAGAGCGCTGATTGTGTGATATAGAGACTAAGCACAAAAGAATAAACAAAATCAATTGCCCAAATACAGAGTATTGTTACATTATGAGAGAGAGACCTGGTAGATAAGACTTCACGTTAAAAAAAAAACAAAACTGGGGTACTGAATGTTCTACATACTCAATATAAGTCAATCATGTGACATGACAGCCAAAAAATTATGTGACCTAAAGTTGTATTTATAGAAGTCACGTAAAAAAAAAGAAGACCACAGTCCCACTGTAAAATTCCCTGATCAGAACACAGCTGGATATTCTGTCCAGTTCTGAGAACCATATGTATTTATTATGTCTACTGACAAGCTATGTGCAGAAAAGGATAGAAGACTGAAAAATACATCATATGTAAATTGCTTGAAGGAATAGAGATGTTTATCTAGGAAAAGAGAAGACTTATGGGGAGTTAAGCTAGCTATCTTTCAGTATTTGAAGGCCTATGATATAGAAGAGGAATTAGACAATCTGCTAGTTACCAAAAAGCAGAACTGGGAGTAATAGGTAGAAAAAGGAGAGAAGTAAAGTTTGTTGTGATACAAGGCAAATTTCCTAATAATTAGCACTATCCAAAAGTAAAATGGGCAGCCACTCCTCCTCCTAACTTCCTTATTTCTATCAAGGATATCACCATTCTTTCTTGAAGGTTTACAACCTAGCAGCCGCCCTTGACACTTCACTTTCACTCATGCCCTATGTTCAATCTGTTGTGAAATTCTGTTGAACATTCCACCTCGTCAACACCCCTCAAACATACCACCTTTTCTCTCCTCACACCATAACCACCCTAGTTCATGCACTCATCATGTCTGATCTGGACTATTGCAGTAGTTCCTTAATTGGTCTCCATCCAGACGCACTTTTCTGTCACCAATCTGTCTTTTACAAAGCTACTAAACTGACATTTCTACAGTACAAGTCTGACCATGTAACTGCTCTGCTTAAGAAGCTCCAGTGACTCCTCATTTCCTCCCCTGTTTGGCATTTAAAGCCCTTCAAAATCTAGCCCCAGCCCACCTTTTCAAGATGATTACATGTTCCTCTTCATTCATTCTACATTCCAGCCAAACTGACCTACTCAAAGTTTCCCATATGTGACATTCTATTGATTGCCTCTAGGCCTTTGCACAGGCATAGAATGCATTCTCCTTCATCACCTCTGACTCTTGAAACTCCAAGTTCTCTTCAAAGCTTCCTTGAAGGCTCAAGAATTTCACCTACAATCAAAGGCCTTTTACTGATTCCTGTGAGTTGTTACACCTCCCATATCCCCCTTCCTTCAACCCATCACCCATCAACCTACATATTTTGTATATAATCTGTGTGAATGTGTATATAACTGTGAACATGTCATATCTACCTAATAGAATGTAAGCTCCTTGTGGACAGGGTCTGTCTTAATTTTATACTTGTATTCCTGTCTTCAAGGACAGTACTTGGCACATGATAGTCACATAATAAAATTTTGTTATTCAACTGCTTGAGTATTAGTCAGTGAGTTTCCGTTCATTGGAGGTCTTCATATAGACCCTGATGACCGCATAACAGGAACATTGTAGACAAGATCTATTCTTGCTCAGGTATGGTTTATACAATATTGTTCCATCTTTGACTCTTCCTCTTCTCTGTCTTCTCATATCTAATCAATAATGAGGTAAGTCAATTCTACCTCAATAATGTTCTCTAAATCCTACATCTCTTCTCTATTTCCATTGTGACCACCTTAATACAGGCCTTCATTCCCATCCTTTTAGTGGTTGATAAATGGGGGGAAATGGCATCATGAAATCCAAGGGTGTAAAGAGAATGAGGAAGAAAGGGTAGCCCAGAGTCATAACTAGGATGGGATGACTAGGTTTTGGAACCTGACCATCAAAATGCATCCTGCACCCCTCCAACCACTAGAAACAACCAAGGGTAGCACCTGATTAGCAGGAATAATTATTTAAAATAGGAAGAAACTAGATAGATTATATTATTAATACCCATCCACTACAATAACTAATTCCCCCTTCTATACAACTGAATTTGTCTTAATTACTTCTTGTATTATTTTCACAGAATGCATCACAAAAAGTTCATTTTTGGACATGTTTCATTTCTGCCTGCACCTGGCATGAACATGTCTGCTAAAGCTCTGGGTGGCTCACAGTACCAGATGGTATAGGGAGATTATTAATCTCCTTTCTTAAGGATGAAAGCTAAAAAAAGTACACTAAGGCAGTGGATACAGAGAGAAGAGAATGGAGATTCTACAACTGTATTTTAAGGGTCAATGAAAATTAATGGGGGAGAGGCCATAGGAAGGTAGTAGACAAAAAGTTAGCAATAGAGAAAAACAATACATACATAGTAGCTGAAGAGAGATGCAAAAGATAATCAGAGTTAGATATTATGGATCAGAGTGACAAAGCAGCAAATAGGTGTTCATGTTCATGGTAAAGGAAGAGAATGGAAAGAGTCACAATGATAACAAGGAACTGAACAAATTAAGGAACAAGGAAAACATTTAGCCCTACAGTTGTTTCAGTTATGGTTAAAAACCATTGAGAAAAAGAATACTATCAGCACCTATGAATCTCAAAGGTTAGACACTAGAACCTTTAGTACATATATAGATTATGTTGTCTAACGTAAGAGATGCTTCTTACAGTAGAGGGTTGGCATTTACTTGGCCTATGACTTCTTCAAAGACAATGTCATATTTCCCCACTTCTGAACAGGATGTCCCAAAAGTCTTAGTGCAGTTTTAGCTATTAAAACTTAATTTAAGCTTTACATTTTCTTAGTTTATTTAAGCTATTTCATAATGCCATTCCTGCCCTGCTCTCCCTCACCTAGCAATAGTTTATTTAAACTACTAAAGCTTAAAACTGCACTAAGACTTTTGGGACACCGTGTATGATTTGGTACAAATGATGTAATTTCAAGAAGCTATTCATCTAAGATGCAACATGACTAAAGAAAACCATTAAGACTGCCTACTAATGCTGTATGTCATTTTATTTCCCTCCCTAAAAATAATTTCTAACCTATCTTCTTATGCCTAACATGTTCCATTTTTTCAAGACAACAAAGGAGGCATTTCACTGTGAGACAATCTAGGATATACACTTACCACAATAGGTATAAATAAGTTTGGAATCAATAAAACGGACTCTGAGATTATGGAGCACAGCAGGTTCATGAAGATAGCTGAGAGCTGTGAGGTCATTTTCACCCACAAGAATATCAGGGTTTCGTAAGTGAGGCAGCTCCTTTGTCTTTGGATCTAAGCAATATTCCAAATCCTAAAAAATGAAAAAATACTTGTATGAATTATTGTTAAAAAAAAATATGTTCTTATTTCTAAGTCATTACTATTGATGGATTTCATCTCCTGTTTCTAATTTTTATTTACTTCTAACATGAGATTGCCAGTTCCTGGCACCTTCTGACATGAAAGAAAGTTGATAGAACTGGTAAGAGATGAAGCCAAATGCATCTTGTGGTTTCCTGCCTTCCATGTTTTTGTTCAAATCATTCTATCTGCCAAGAACATTGCCCTCTTTATCTGAGACTCAGACCTTTTCAGACCACTTATATCCACAGCTTTTTCCTCCACATGAATTTCCATAGTGCTAATCAGCTTTATAAAGTTCAATGGACAATTAATTATATACTTCTGCTTTTTTAAATCTCTTGTAGCATTAGTTATTTTTTCATGTGTTTGTTTTATTTCTCCAAGATTACATGTTCTTTGAATGCAGGAATCATGACATTAAATGGTTCATATTTTCTACAATGCCTTTCACACAAATATTTGTAGGTTTTTTGACTTAAATATCCAATCCTGGGCTGGTTTCCTCCAGTCACTCACCTTTAGGTAGTGTATACTATATATTAATTTTAACATCAGCTTAAGCAAAAATCAAATAGACAAATTTGGGGTGGGGGATGGTGAAAATAACACAAGGCATCCTAAGCCAATATAATACTTCTGATTCCTGATATTTTGGATTATTCATACCACATGTGCACTTTATTTGCATGGATAATTTGCTAACTATATATCAATCTAGAAGGCGAAAAAAAAAATGACATTGGAACAAAAAGTGAAACTGCAAACCTAAACTAAGCACACCGTAGTCTCTCCAAGCTTAACAGCAACTTTTAGTTACTGATATTTCTCCTCTTCAACACATCTTAGAATTTATAACTAAAAGGGTCTTTTAAGATCGTCTGTAGTAGTCCAACCCGCTCATTTCACAGGTGAGGAGGAAAAATGACGCAGAGAAAGTGACTTGTGCAATATAACACAAGTAGTAAACATCAGAGCACCCAAAGCCTGCAAACTAGTGAAGACAGAAAACGTTACCTTGCCTCCCTCAAGGCGTAGCTGAAGCACTTTATCTCCTGGTTTATAGTCTTTGAGCAACTCTGCTGATTTCCAGACTTCCTCAGGATCAGGTATCCAAACCCTGGCAAACTATAAAACAAAACAATAATTAAGCTAATTTCTTTTAAAAGGTAATATAACTAGACTATAATTTACAACTGATATTTGAGATCCAATCAATATCAACTTTAATTTTTCAAGTGCTCGAATTAAATTTTTACCTCTAATGGTGGTACCATCCTTCACAAATGTTATTAAAATGGTGCTTTCAAATAATAGTAACATTTAAAATTAGTCTGATCTTACTTTATCCATTAGATTTGTTAAGTCTAAGATTAAATAGCTTGACTTTATTTTATCCATTACATGTATTACTAAAGGCTTTGCACGTAAAATAAAAATTGGCACATTAAATCATATTGTCTGGGTATTTACAATGTCTAATCTAGCAAGTTATGCCAAAATGTTCTGTACTTTATTAATAGATGTCTCACGATAAAAATAAATCTAAATATTTAAGTTTGAAGCTACAAGTTCTTAAAATAATTTAGTTATATTAATTACATAAATTTGAGAACCATAAAATGTTTATATAAAATAAAAAATACCTATGAGTAAAAATTTAACAAAAATTGATTTTAAAAGTCCTCTGAATAGTAATATATAGCATTTTTTTATTCCATTCTAGGAATAGGTTCTTAATCTTTTTTGTATCAATAACCCTTTTACCAGTCAAGTGCAGCCTGTGGACCCCTTTTCAAAATGTTTTTAAATGCATAAAATGAAATACCTGGAATTACAAAGGAAGTTAATTTGATTGAAATAGTTATCAAAATATTAAAAAAAAAGTTCACAGACCCCAAGTTAAGAACCTTTGGGGTACAATCTAGATGACCACCACCAAAATTGAAATTACAAAACCCAAAATGGATCATTATACATACTGTTTTAAGGTTTACAAAGAACTTTACATATAGTATCCATCTCATATCACCCTGCTAACCCAACCCTGGAATACAAATATACTTGCCTTCAACTGTCTTATTAGCCTAGTATAGGGATGGGGAACCTGCAGCCTTAAGGCCACATGTGTCCCTCTAGGTCCTCAAGTGTGGCCCTTTGACTGAATCCAAACTTCACAGAACGAGTCCACTTAAAAAAAGGATTTGTTCTGTGAAACTTGGACTCAATCAAAAGGCTGTACCCAAAGACGTAGAAAGCCACATGTTGCCTCAAGCCTACAGGTTTCCCACCCCTGCTACCACACCAAGACAACCCTGAAGGATAGAATTTCCATCTCTTCCATTTATGACCACCAGAAGGACTATGTGAAAGAAATCATCAAAATAATTCTCCAAGATAAGATGCTAATACCAGAAGTGAGAGTTGCCAGTAAAAGCCAAACAGAATCGAGACAGTTTTGTTCATGAGGATGAAAGTTGGCAGGATAAGTTAAGTAAACATGACATGTGGCCCATTGTCCTAATTCAGAGGCATTCATAGCATGCCATATCTAGCTGGCAAGTGGAGACCATAGAACCAGTAAAATTGGCCCAAGTCAAAGACAGTAGCAGTTAGGAGGATTGGACAAAAATTCTATACAATACATTTCTAGGTACAGAGATGGAAAAGAATATGGATGGTACCATTGTTGTAGAGATTAGATTAGATTAAGCATTGACAAGGTATGGAGCCACTCTGAATGAAGCACTCAATGCTGTGATGTGAAGGTACTTTTACAATTCCTTTTCATAAGTGAATTTTTATTGGCCAAATATTTTGCTTTTCATTTCACTTAGGTATTTATCTTATACTAAATCAAACTGCATGTGTTACAATAAAGTCTCAAAGCCTCCCATAGGCAGAAACCCTCAAGATTTAAAATTTTCCAAATTGTGAAGGGAGAGGGATGAAAGGAAATATTTTAAAATTCTGCTCAGTGTCAAAAATATCGTTAGAACTCTGCTGGGATGGGATTATCCAAGTAAAGTGACAAAGAATCACCACTCTCTCTTTGCCCTTTCCTCCTTATACTGTCTTCTCAGCATATTGTAATAATGTTTTGTTGTTGTTGTTTTTTTAGCAACACAGGTACAAATAAGCAAAAATTTAGTTATGACAAAATTCTGTTGGAATTACACTAGATTTGGAATAAGAGCTCCAGTTCCAATATTTACTAGCTGTGTGATCCTAGGCAAACAACCTTTCTGAGCTTGTTTCCTTAGCAGTAAAATGGGGACAATAATATTTTCACTGTTTACCTCAAAGCGATGTAAAAAAAAAAGTGCCTTATCAATTATTAGGAGTTATTATTTTGCCCAATTATGTGCTAGTAAAACCAACAATCTACCCTATACATAACCCTATCTTAGAAACAAAAAAAAAATTGAACAAGCCATCATTGAGCTCCCTAAGAAAAAATCCCAAAGACCAGATGGAATCACAAGTGAATTCTACCAAATATTTAAGGGACAATTAATCGCAACACTATATGAACTATTTGAAAAAAAAAGGTAAAGAAGAAGTCCTAACAAATTTCTTTTATGATACAAATAGAATTTTGATACATAAACCAGGGAGAGCAAACACAGAGAAAGAAAACTACAGACCAATTTCCTTAATGAACATCGACATAAAAATGTTAAGTAAAATACAACAAGGAGATTACAGCAATATGTCACAAAGATCATACACTATGACCAGATGGGATTAATACCAGGAATTGAGGGCTGGTTCAATATTAGGAAAACTATCAGCATAATTGACCACATTAATAATAATAACAACAAAAATCAAATGGTTATAGCAATAAATGCAAAAAAAACTTTTGGGAGCTTTCCCATGGGCTCCGCCATATCCCAGTGAGTTGCCAAAATGACAAACACAAAACGAAAAAGGAGAGAGACACGATATATGTTTTCTAGGCCCTTTCCAGAGCATGGTGTCATCCCTCTGGCTATGTATATGCGAATATACAAGAAAGGTGATATTGTAGATATCAAGAGTCTGGGCACGGTTCCGGAAGGAATGCCCCACAAATGTTACCATGGCAAGACTGGACTGGTCTATAATGTTACTCAACATGCTGTAGGCACTGTTGTAAACAAACAGGTTAAGGGCAAGATTCTAGCCAAGAGAATTAATGTGCATCTTGAGCATATTAAGCATTCTAAGAGCAGAGATAGCTTCCTGAAGTGGGTAAAGGAAAATGATCAGAACAAGAAGGAAGCCAAAGAAAAAGGCACTTGGGTTCAACTGAAAGAGAAGCACACTTTGTGAGAACCAATGGCAAGGAACCTGAGCTGTTAGAACCAATCCCCTATGAATTCATGGCATAAAAGACTGTAAAATAAAAACAATAAAAAATTTGGGGGTAAAAGAAAAAAGAAAGAAAAACCTTTGGGAAAACACAATATCCATTCCTATTAAAAACACTAGAAAGCATAAGAATCAATGGAATCTTTCTTAAAATCATAAGTAGTATCAATCTAAAACCACCAGCAAGCATTATCTATAATGAGGATAAGCTAGAAGCCTTCCCAGTAAGATCAGGAATGAAGAAAGGATGCCCATTATCACCACTATTATTCAATAATGTACTAGGAATGTTAGCTATATACAAGAAAAAGAAATTGAAGGAATAAAAACAAGCAATAAGGAAACAAAACTATCACTCTTTGCACATGATCTGATGGTATTCTTAGAGAACCCTAGGGAATCAACTAAAAAATCTAATTAAAACAACTTTAGCAAAGTTGCAGGATATAAAATAAACCTACATAAGTCATCAGAATTTTTATCTACTACCCACAAAACCCACCAGGAAGAGATAGAGAAATCCCATTTAAATAACTGTAGACAATATAAAATATTTGGGAGTCTACCTCCCAAGACAAACCCAGGGGTTATATGAATACAATTACGAAACACTTCACACAAATAAAGACAGATCTGAACAACTGGAGAAATATTAATTGTTCATAAGTAGGCCGAGCCAATATAATAAAAATGACAATTATACCAAGGTTAATTTATTTATTAGTGCCATGCCAATCAAACCACCAAAGAATTATTTTATAAAGCTAGAAAATATAGTAGCAAAATTCATCTGGGAAAACAAAAGGTCAAGAATATCAAAGGAATCAATGAAAAAAAATGTTAAGGAAAGCAGACTAGCGGTTCCAGATTTCAAAGTACAATACAAAGTGGTAATCATCAAAACAACCTAGTACTGGCTAAAAAATACAGTGGTAAATCAATGGAATAGATTAGATTATGTACACAATACATAGTAGTAAATGATCATAGCAATCTAGTATTTGATAAACCCAAAGATCCAAACCTATGGGATAATAACTCAACATCTGACAAAAATTGCTAGGAAAACTGGAAAGCAGTTTGGCAGAAACTAGGCACAGACCAACAACTCACACTATATACCAAGATAAGGTCAAAATGGATATATGATTTAGACATACAGGGTGATATTATAAGTAAACTAGGGGAGCATAGGAAAATATACCTGTCAAATCTATGGATAATGGAAGAGTTCATGACCAAAGAAGAGACAGAGGAGATCATGGGAAGTAAAATAGATAACTTTGATTCCATGAAATTTAATACCTTTTGCACAAACAAAACTAATACAGCCAAAATTAGAAGAAAAACGGGAAAGTGGGGGGAGGGGGAATTTACAGCAACCTTCTCTGATAAAGGACTCATTTCTCAAATATATAGAGAACTAAGTCAAATTTATAAGAATACAAGTCATTCCCCAATTGATAAATGGTCAAAGAATATGAACAGGCAGTTTTCAGAAGAAGAAATCAAAGCTATCAATTTTCACCTGGAAAAAAATGCTCTAAATCACTACTCATTAGAGAAATGCAAATTAAAACAACTTTGAGATACCACCTCACCCCAGTCATTTTGGCTAACATGACACAAAAAGAAAATGGCAAATGCTGGAGGTGATGTGAAAAATTGGGACACTAACGCACTGTGGGAAGAGTTGTGGACTAGTCCAAATATTCAGGAGAACAATTTGAAACTACGTCCAAAGGGCTATAAAACTGTGCATAATACCCTTT